TCAAAAGGAAACAGCATAAGATAAAAGAGTACTATGTAAAAAAAAAAAAAAAAAAAAAAAAAAAAAGCCGAAATATAACTTTTGAACTAGGTGAAATAGTGGTTGTACGACAACCATCGAAACCAACATGTCAACCAACAAAACTCAGCCAAAATACAGAGGACCCTTGATTGACAGAAGTTCTCCCCAATGATACTTACAGGGTGATCCAAATGGAGGAAAAAGACCATGGTAGACTGTATACAACAACACCCCACATGAGTCAGCTGAAGTCTTCGCATGCTAATAACCTAGATGAGTCGGATGAAGAGGAGCCAGGTAACTAGGATATTAACTCGCGAAGCAACAGGTAAAGTGAACTTTTACTTTTTTGTCGTGAACCTACAAAGAAAACCTACAAAGTTTTACTGGAAAAACTTCATTAAGATTTTCTAGAACTTTTGTTGCAGACCTTTTTTTACTTTTTATAGAACTTTAAAAATTATGATTATACTGTACACAAAAATGTGGGTTCTTATGGTATTGCCAAGAATATTTGTTAAAAAAAAGGACAACTGAGGACAATTGTTTATTTAGGATGCCCGAATATTAGCAATTTCCACAGTCTACCACTAGATGACATTATGAATATTTAAAGCATTTGTAATAATCAAAACGAGAGATATAAAAAAGTTACCATGGCAAAAGACGATGTTAACTACTTGTGTGCTTTTTAAAAATCAGTAGAATTAGGTATTTTGATGTTGTTGGTTGTGAATTTCTGTCCTGATAAATAATGCAAAAACAAAAAGATAGACATAGTGGATGTAAGAGAAAAATCCTAAGGCCAACAGAATGATACAATTTTCAGTCTCATTGAAATGTAGGGAACTTACAGTGGTACTGCCCACAGATTGCAACACATAGACTTTCTCTGTCACCTGTACATGAATATGAAAGACACAAAATTCACTAAAACACAGAGGAAAACCTTGAATGAGTGAACAGTTGGACTAGGCACTGCTTCATAGAAAATAATAATAAATAAATAAAAATGGGCAGAAGAGAGAGAGACGTTACTTCAGTGTTCTGTCATCACAGGTGCATACTGTAGCACAATACTTACTTTGTGAGATTTTCCTGATGATCCTTATTTATGTCACCAATTATCATGATTAAAATAGTATTTTTAGCTTGAAATGAGGGTTCAGAGTAATATTTTCTGACATTAGCAGTGTACAGTAGGAAGAACACAATCCTTACAAAATTACTAATATTTTGTTGTCAACATATAAATTTTTCAAAGTTAAATAACAATATATAGCTTCCAAAAATCCACTGGCTTGCAAATAAGCAAAAGTAAAGGGAAGCTGACAGTCTTTTCTTTCCCCCCCCAACAGTTTTATAAATTTAAGAAAATATTTACTCATGACCTAAAATTTTATCTACAGCACCTTCAGTAAAAGCAAAATCTTATGTTTTATTATAAATAAATAAATAAATAAAAATGTTAATACACTCTTTTTTTTTAATCAAACGACTGCTGCAAAAACAAAACAGATTGTCTGTGAAGCCTATGGAGAAGACATTGGTGTCATTAACCCATTAGCCGCTGGTGTTGCGTTGACGCAAAAGTCAAAATAAATGCGTATATAAATATAAATAACGAAGATATTTTATACCAGCAGATGATTTTGTGTAAGGAATATTATGAAGATTATAACTGTAAAAATATATTTGCCTTCAACAATCATTTTGTTTATAATAATTAATCTCGTACTTTAAGCAAAATTTTCGACCGGGTATTTTTGCTGAAAATATTTCGAGAAAGAATCACCATCTTTATGAGTGATCTATTTTTAGTCAAGGTCACCGTTTATCAGAACAGTACATCAAACAGATGTTTATATTTGTGTTGGGAAGAAAGGAAAAACAGGCGTTGCGCTGACGCAATGTCAGCAGGAAACGGGTAGTCAATCTCCTTTTTCACTCATTCTTTTCGATGTTCTGGTTCATGTTCTGCTTGTTTAAAAATGCCTAGAACGAGGTATCTTACATTAGAAGAAGCCCTTCAAAGATTTTTTGATGAAGAAACAGATGATGATAATGTTAATAATGACCAGAATGAAACTGATATTGTTGTTCCGCCAGAAACTGCAGAAGCTAGTGATAAAGCAGGGAAAGACAATATTTTAAATAATGATAATGATATTTTACCACTTGATACTGCTGGGGAAGTTGAAATTCACGTAAGAAGTACGTTTCCGCCTTCTAAAAGCAGTGGTAGTCATACGAAAAAGTTTAAAAAGCAGAAAACTGAAAACTTGAAATGGATAAAAAAGGAACCGTTAGTTATGTCTCAGAAAGAAAGTGAAGAAAGATATAGAAGAGAAACAATAAAAGACAAAATACAAGGTAAAACTAGTGGAGAGATTTTTGATTTTCTTTTTGGTTCAGGTATTTATTCTCTTCTCGTTGAACAGACAAATATATACGCTCAGTAAAAAAAAATCGCCCAGAATTTATTGCATCTGAATCCTATATGAGAAGATTTATTGGAATATTATTGCTTACAGGATATCATTCTTTACCTCAAGAAGAAATGTATTGGTCTCTTGATAAGGATCTGTTCCTATTGTACGAGAATCGATGTCATGTTTGCAGTACAGAAATATGAAGTAGAATTTGCATTTAGCTGACAATAGTCAAATTGACAATACTGATAAATTACATAAGGTGAGACCGTATCTAAACTTACTAAATGAGAAATTCCAACAATTTGGTATATTTTCCTACAATCTGAGTATTGACAAGCAAATGATTCCTTATTGAGGCAAACATTCAGCAAAGATGTTTTTAAAAGGGAAACCTATAAGATTTGGATACAAAGCATGGACTCTGGTGTCATCTGATGGATATGTGTTTTATTTCGATATTTATTCAGGTAAGACGACAGCTCCAAAATTACGAGAAGATGAAGAATTTGGGCTTGGAGGAAGTGTGGTGATAAATTTGCTCAGTTTTGTTGAAACTACCGCCAATCATGTTATTTATTTTGATAACTTTTTTACATCATTTCAGCTTCTCTATCATCTAAAAAATAAAGGTTTCAATGCTACAGGAACAACAGGGGAAAACTGCATACAAAATGTGCACAACAGAAACTGTAAAAAGGTGTCTCAGAAAGATAGGAGTTATTATGATTTCCAGTATAAAGAGAAAAACAAAATAATTTTTGTCCAATGGAACGACAATTCAGTTGTAACTGTTCGGTTAACATTGGAAATTCAACCCATAAAAATGTTTCCCGTTATTGATAAACGCAAAGGAAAAATGTTTTTATATCTCAGCCTCATCTTATTGAACAATACAATGACAAAATGGGTGGAGTCGATTTATGTGAAAATTTAGTAGAGAATTACAAAATAAGAGTTCGTGGCAAACATGGTGGCGGACAATATTTACTAATTACATTGATGTCGCCTTGACAAATGCATGGAAAATATCACGACTTTCTACTACTGGAAATAAAACATCTCTTTTAGATTTCAGACGCGAGGTTGCATTATTCCTTTTGCAAACTCCTATTGAGAGTGTAGATTTAGCCAGAAATAGATCAGCAACAGGAAGACCTAGTAAATTCAGCATTCAAAATCATTGCATGAAAATGGTAGACATTTTATCGTAAAGTCCGATGATAACAAAAGACTTCGTTGTAAGAGTGCCATAGCCAGACTGTTTATAGATGCAAAGTATGTAATGTAGCTTTACATCATGATGGTAGTGAGCTTTTCATGCTTGAATCTTTCAATTGAAATAATCTGTATTTGTAAGAGAAATATAATGTATATTTTAATATTAAATTAATTACAAGTAAAGTGATTTGTAGATTTATAAAACGTTATACAGCTAAAACGCAATCTACTCACCTAACATAAAACGTAATCCAGTGCTCCACTCAAAGGAAACATCGCATGAATACAATCCTACTCACCTAACATGTGTAGTCTTATTCCGCTGACGTTGCGTAAATGCAACACCCGCTTTTTCCACAGGTAAGAGCATTTTTTTTTTTTTATTTTTAATGTAAATTTATGTTATAAATGCTTAATTTAATATGTGTTATTATTTTCATGAGAAAAAAATCATTCCTTGTAGTTTTGGCAGTTAATGGGTTAAGATGTAGTTAAAAATTTTCATAACTGAAATTGACTTGAAACGACTTTAAGCATTCAAACTGAAAGACTGAAAGAATTTAACAGCAATGAAATGCAAAAACTTCTTAACAGAGAAACAGCTGGTACTTTTCTGTTATCGGGACCGGATTCAGAAATATAATGTATATATGCATGTATGGATGGATGGATATGTCCATATACGCATGTATATATGTAAGTACAAATGTGTGTGCATATATACATACGCACATGCATACATTCATACCTTTCTGAATCCAATCACAATAATAGAACAATACCAAATAGCTTATAGACTAAAGATAATTTCAAATTAACAAGTATGCTACCCCCATATTAAATAAAATATATTTAAAAAAATCTGATACAATTTTAAAGGCTATTTATAATTACTGAGCAAAAGTATATTCATAATAATAATTTGTACAAATCTACTCCCTTTTCTCTAAAAAAGATTATTCTTAAAAAAAAAAAAAAAAAAAAAAAACTGATTGAAGCTAATTTTTCATTAAAAAAAATATTTACACATTTAGTTTAAAAAAGTCAGAACAGAATAGATGAGAACAAAGAATTCATTAAATGTGTTAAAGTTTATATGCATACATTTTCTCAACATAAAGCTCACTTTTAATATAAAACTATATTTTAATTAGATTTTATGATTTATTTTACCTAAAGAGGCTTAGCAGATGTATGAAAGTAAAAACAGCCACTTGCAACCAATATGAGACTAAAAATAATGTAAAGATCATGGTGAATAGATAAGTAACACTATGGATTGGTCAACAGTACGATACATAACTCTAGTTGAAAATGTATTTATACCTGCTGCAATAGCTGACTTCCGTGCTGACACCTTATCAGCCATTTTTTCCATAACAACTGGAGATGGCCCAATAAACCGAATTCCAGCAGCTATACAAGCCTGAGCAAAATCTGCCCTTTCAGAAAGGAAACCATATCCAGGATGGATAGCATCAACTTCATTTTCCTAAAATAAAGGACATTTATAAGTATCCACAATACAAACTTTATTTAATACATAAATAATACTTTAAAATATTACCTGTGATATTTTAATAATTTCAGGGATATTCAAATATGCTTGCACAGGTGGTAAGCCTTTCCCAATTAAGTAAGATTCATCAGCTTTCTGTCGATGCATATGCATTTTGTCCTCATCAGAATATACTGCAACTGAGCGTATTCCAAGTTCAGTACAAGCTCTAAAGACTCTTATTGCAATTTCTCCTAAAATATATTCATGATAAAATTTCATTCAAAATCCTTTTAATGAAAGCATTTACAAAAAGTAGAAAAGGGGAAGTTATTTATAAAAAGTAATACAGTTTAAAAAGAAAATTTTAATGCAATATTAATAGCCATGTAATCATGTTTTACTACTTTAATCCACTTCAATTTTTTGGTTAATTTGATAGTAATAATAACAAAAAATTATTTACTTTTAAACTAATGATTAAATTTTGTACATCCCTACAAATATTACAGTTGACAAATGAAGTTAAAAAATGTAATACTGCAGTAGAAGGTATTGTAAAAATTCAGCTCATAGCAGTAATGTATAACATTCAAATGTAATTCATATTAGTTTTCTTATATTAAATATAACTGATTATCATTCCCATGCAAAAAAGGGGGAATTTACTACTTTAAAATCTACAGTAGTAGGAAACTTCTTCAAACATAAGAGAATTAAAAAGATTCTTTTTAACTCTCTGACTGCTCCATTTGTGGACCGAAATTGCTTCATTTTCCCCCATATTTTAAATCTTCCAGAAAAGATTTTTTTTATATAGATTTTTATCATGAGAAACTAAGCTGTCAGAAATAATAATTTCAGATGTTATCACAAAATTTTTTTTTAAATAAATTTAAATTGAATTACAGTTAATTTTTATTTATTACATAATATAAAAAAGCAAAATGTATAAAACTTAAGAAAATATAACGCACTGAGGGGAAAATATCTTAATGTAGTTTAGCATGATAAGAATTGGAAACAGGTTCAAGGCAAAGTCCAACTTCACAGTCTTTGCAGCAGATTATTGTTTCTTTGTGATTTTTTCCCCCATTTTCATCAATCGCTAAACCTTTTCTAGCAGCTATTTCTGATTAGAAAAAGGCAGCAAACACAGTGAAGTTAGAGGGGTAAATACCGAGTACCTTCAAATGCCACAATTTTGTGGACGACTAATGACATCTGTTGGTCAAAACCTAAATTAAATGTCTAATACTATATATTAATTATTTCACTGGTTAAACGGTGAAAAGGAGGGATGCGCTCCTCAATAAAGAAAGAAAAACACATGCTCACGAAAATCACAGGAAGAGCAGCCAGAGGGTTTAATCTTTGCTTATAAGAAACAACCACTTCAAAATAAATTCTACTGCAAATTTTTAATGATACTGTGGAGTAAATCATTAACTATAAAAAAAAACAAGAACAAAAACCTCATGTTTCAGAAGAAAATGAAATAAAATATGAATTCAATACAAAATGAAGTTTGACTGTCTTTAAAAAAATCCAATGTGGACATCACACGACTTCATTGTATGACCTGTTAACTAATATGCATTTTTTGCTGCACTTCATTTAAACTGATTTGCCCAAATTATTCTAACTTAATTGATCAATCCCTCGAAGCAAGTTGAAAAAAATTTTTTTTTAATTCCAAATTTTGAAACTGAATATCGCGGTCAATTTTTATCACACGGAAGTCAAACGTCTTACAATTTTATTTTTTCATAATGCGTATAAAATTAAAAATAAGTATAGAAGCCAGGGGATTGCATAAAAGGTTATATTTTGGTATTTGTCGCAAAATATGTTTTTTAATCTGACATTGCCAAATCATGAACATTTTCATCATTTAAAACACTTCTGTAATTGTAAGTACAGTCAAAAGTCGTTAATTCGGACACCCATAATCCGGAATGATCTATAATCCGGACCTCAAAGCTAAAAACTTTCTGCGCATGCAGCGCATTGACACATGCGCATAGGCGTTTACACGTGCACGTAAGGCCTTTGCATGCACGCGCATATGCGTGTGCACAAGTGCAGAATACGTTTTCGCGTGCGCGTTTAATGTATAACGGACAGTGCAAGCTAAAATTATATAATTATCTATTTCAGTTAATGTTGATGATTGCATTGTTCCTTAATCTTCGAATTGGATGCGGCTTATTATTTTTTGCAGACTGTAAGAGCAATTTTATAAAAGTAAACTTGAACTTTCGATTATGTCAATTTCCGATTCTGGAGCTCCCAAAGGATCTACAAACGAAAGTATGTCTCGATGTCCGTCAAACAAAAAGTGGAATTGCTGCAAAAAATGGATAAAGACATGAAGAAGGTGACAGAGAGGTTAGTGAAAACGAAAAAATTTCGATTGACAAGTTATTCGATATTCTCGGCACAGCAATTACAGGACTTTTAACTGAACAAGAAATTATGTCTGTTTATAGAATTAAAGAGAAAGTATTATCACATAAAACGAAGCAACTTAAACAACTTACATTGAAAGAAATGTTTAACAAAGTAAATCTTTTTTTTGTAAATTTTGATAACCTTTAGATCATAATTGTTTTTTATTTCATAAATTATGGTTTCATATTTTTAATTTTAGAATTTGTGCATGCCATCTTACGAGATTTAAACTGATGATCTATAATCCGGAATCGCCGAAGTCCCGACGAGTCCGAATTAACGACTTTTGATTGTATATGATTACGACCAATGATTGCAAAAATAAAGGTCCGGCAAGGACTTTTATACCAGGTATATACATATACAGGGTGATTTAGAATTCATTATTGATATTTGGTGGGGAGGTAGGGAATAGGAAAAGAAGAAGATTTCACACAGGAATGCATGTGCACATATGCCATGTAGGAGGGCAAAATGACCCCAATTCAATGATGGCAAAAACCCATAGAAAGGAAGTAGTAAGGAAAAAAACATTTATTATCTTATATGTAACATTCCTTTGCATCGGTTTTACAGACTTAAAAGAGGTGCTCGAACTGCTGACCATGTGCTAGAATGCATGACTCACAACGGCGTTGCACGGACAACCAGACCTTCTGGAATATGCCTGGACTTTACATGCATATCTGCAAGTTCATTCCACGTATACAGGTTCATGTTACTTCTGCAAAGTCACTTAGTCGAATGACGACTGGCTGCACACATCATGCAGCTGTGCTTAAGTATGGAAATTGTGTACACACAGCGCCCTCTACATCACCATGCTTTCATCTGGGCCCATACTTTCCTATGTGAAATCTCCTTCTCTTCCAATTCTTTACCTCCCCACCAAATATTGATGATGAATTCTGAATCACCCTGTATATTTTTAGTACTGCCAATTGTAATAGGAAAGGCAGGTGTATGTATAACTAGATGTTACACCAGGCCCATATACAAAATTTCAACATTCTACAACTAATCGGTTTTAAGTTAAGTGAGATACATTAGTATGTATGTACACTGCTGATAAAAAAAAGGGGGGCACAGTTCTATATCTTCCGTTCTACTGGACCGATTGACGAAATTCAAATTGTGTTCTTCATGTCTCAAAAGCGCGACTTAGGATATATATTAAATTTATATATAGCTCTACTCTAACATAGTTATTTTGACACGAAATCGGACTTTTTCTGAAATAACATACCATTTGTTTTCCATATTTTGATTCTACGACTCAAATTATGCCTAAATATTAAATTTTGTAAAATTTGGTGTGAAAATTATGGAGAAATTCAACAATTTATGTTGGCACTTTTTATTCAGTTTGCGTCAAAGTTAGTTCACTTGGCAAACTTCTTAATATGTGGCAACCTATTTTCATTTCCATTTTTACATAGTGCGCGAGAGGAAAAAAAGACCCAATCATTCCTTCTTTCAAATAATGTTCTTTATATTATATTTTTAATTATAATTAATTTTAAGCAATTTTTTCCTTTTCGAATAACTGTTTTAAAAATGTCTATTTACTCATTCGAACTGTGTAGTTTAAATCAAAGGTGCATTGTTTATTATTTTTTTTCCAAATAGTTTTCTTTATGGTATATTTTTAGTTACTATTTTAGGTAATTTTTTAAATTTTTGGGCTTTTATTTTAATTGTTAGTGTTGCATTGTCTCTTCAGATAATTATTTTAAAATTTTCTATTTATTCATTCGAACTGAGCATTTTAAATATATTTATTAATATAAATCTTTCAGAATTTGATTTTATTTGTTTGAATTGCGTTTCTTTCAGAAGAATACTTTGTAACCCAGACTACGATACGTTTGAAAACTGCATATATTAAAAGAGAAATTACAGTAAAGCACAGTTAATATGCCTTTCAATGTTCCGTTCAGAAAAGATATATATAAATAAGAGAGATGTATAACTGACATTTTAACTTAATAAGAAAGGCAGGTGTATGTATAACTAGATGTTACACCAGGCCCATATACAAAATTTCAACATTCTACAACTAATCGGTTTTGAGTTAAGTGAGATACATTAGTATGTATGTACACTGCTGATAAAAAAAAGGGGGGCACAGTTCTATACCTTCCGTTCTACTGGACAGATTGACGAAATTCAAATTGTGTTCATTTTAACTTCCATGCACTTTAAACAGTTTTATCACTGTGCGCATTGCTTTACACAATTTTATCCCACATTTGGTTTCTTAAAATGTTATTCATATTTTAGTCAAATATTTTATTTTTGAAATCGCAAGAATCAAATATCATAAGAATAAAAAGTTTTAAATTAAAAAAAAAATACAAATACTAAATTTTACGCAAATATATATTTTTCTTCTCTTTTTCTTCAGGCATTCTGCTTCATTCTTGCTCTTTTTCTTTAGGCATTCTGCAAGTATATTAAAAAACATCCAACTTTTCTAAACATCTTGGTACTTCTGACATGCCTTCCATTTCATAAAGGCCCACAAACGGCCGAGCGGTAAAGTCGCTGAACATTGGTAGTTCAGTCCGGGGTTCAAATCCCGGTAAACGGGCTGGTTGCATGGGCGTTTTTGTGGATTTTCTCATGTGTAACGTGTATGCCAGCTGGTTTCCCTTAGAAAGTTCTTCACAAAGGCATCCTTCCTTTTAGACAGATAGTCCTGGTTTGCCGTAACTTAATAATCCAATTCAGTCCATTTCATCAGTATTTGGTCAGAGCCTTTATCAGTCTTTAGAGGCTAAGCATTCTGAAGGTATAA